ATATATTCCACTCTGTCACAGTGTATTTGGCATATTAAATGGCCTTTTTGCAATTGATTAAATTATTAATGTGATTATTTACATTATTAATCTTCTTTTAATTACTTAAGACACACAAACCTTTTTAACTGTGCTTCCAGAGAAATATAGTATCATTATTAAAAACATGTTGATTTGCATATTCCTCATTTTGCAGATTAGATTTTGAGCTGCATAGGTCTATGGAGTGTTCTTTCAGGTATATTTATTATTTTTCTTCCTCAGAAGGTGTCTTAGTTGCCTGAGTTAAATTTCTGTTAGAGTTTAAAAGGTACAGACAGAATGTGAGACTCAAGTTAACAAAGTTTTGGTGATGTTGAGTTCAGACAGAACGAGATAACTGTAGGCTGGGTATCTTGATACTTATCCTAGTAATATCTTTATTTCTGCATGATACTCTGCTATGAAGATAAAATATGGTGTCATACTTAATGACACTAATATCTTCTCAGCTAAATCTTGTTGTTACACTGGTTTGTGTTATTTTGGGGTTTGCATTTATTTTTATTTTGGAGAAAGTGGGAAAAGTGAATTTGTTCCTCCTACCTAAGGAATCTCCCATTTTCTGTCACCACCAGTGTGCCAGTGCTGGGAAGAATGGTGGAGTTTTACCCATATATAAAGAATGTGCAAAGTCGTTTCCAGCTCCATCTTGCCAGGTGCTTGAGGACCTCAGGCTCCTCATTTTCTATGAAGTACTGACCATACTAGTAGAGCAGAATTTTAGTGTTTAAAACCAGAGAGAGACATGTTGTACAGCATTGCCTTGTAACATGTTTCTGAGATTTTGTGGTTCCATGGAATTATGGCAGGTATAGGTATAGTTATGTATGAAATCAAGCAGTAATTTGTTTCATAACAACACAGAATCTTTCTTTCACAAAGACCATTACTATTATATTTGTCTCTTCTTTCTGTTTTCCTTGTGTTTTTTTTTTTTGTTCTCTTCTTGACTGGCATGTCTTTTCTTCAGGGTATTATTAGAGTTGGTAATTAATAACCGTTTACTTTGCTGTTTTGCTTTTCAGCTTCTAGTAAAACATGGTGGAGATTTGTTTGCAGAAAACGAAAATAAAGACACCCCATGTGACTGTGCAGAGAAACAACACCACAAAGAGCTGGCTCTTAACCTGGAATCTCGAATGGTATTTTCACGTGATCCTGAAGCTGAAAGCATTGAAGCTGAATATGCTGCTTTAGACAAAAAAGAGGTCAGAGGATACCTTAAATTGGAGTATTTTACTCATTTATATTTGTAGCGGTTACATTGTGACAAAATTCTGCAAGGAATTTCGGTAGATACTGTACTTTGTACTGTGTATTTGTAAACCATTAGATTTTGACAGCTCTTTCTAGCTTTCAAGTTAAGCTCAGAGAACATAACAAGTATATTGTCAAAAGTAAAGAGAAGTTTTATTCATATGCTTAATTACATGGACTGGGTTGAAAGTGTTGCAGGCTGTGAGGCTGGAGGAAATACAGTGAGGCCAGAAAGCTGGGAAACAGTTTTTTTACGTCTTTTTATTTCTTAAGATGCCTTTCTGTCTAAAAACGAGCGGAGAAATTCTGAAAAGGAGAAAATCTGTAGGATAGAATAGGGAAAATGTTCTGGTGGATCTTCCTAGGTCAAGACTGGGTTGAATGTCACCAAAAACCGGCTGATTAGTGCAGGATTTCAAAACATTGCATTTACTTTCTTGTTTTATAACATGATGCCTGAAACTACTGCCCACCAGAACTTGTATGAAAACCAGGTCATAACAGGTGTTGCTATACCGATGTCAGTTTTTCGAAGAGACAGACAATTCGCTGACAGAAGTTTGCTTGAATTCTGGTATGCCTTACAGAAGACTGTGATTTGATAAGGATAATTTGACCAAAAAGATTCTGAGCAAAAGTTCCCTCCCCCATCCATTATCAGATCTTAATAAACTAAAATTACAAATAGAATGCATAGAGAAATTATATTATTCAGTAAATATTACGAAGTATTTCTGTGTAAGTTAAAGGACAATAGATTTCTCTATGGCTACTCCCTTCAAAAGTAGCGTGGCCTTGCCTTTCACTAGCTTAGCCCACCTATGACCTAATGATGCTTAAAAGAAAAATCATTCAGATTTAGATATGAGTAGGCTTAGATCACATCAACTGTTTCCCTGAAAAACGCCACGCATGGTCACTTTTATTTGAAATCAAGAAAGTCTTTGTACTGTTCAATTAATTTTCTGACTAATTTGCTTGAATAAATTCAAAAATAAACAAGTTTAATTAAACCGTTTATTCCCAGATGAGAGGTTTTGACATGAGCTTTAATATACTTGAATTGTACATTGAAATAGCAAATGTAATTAACTAATTTTAGTTTCTCTGAATATTCCCATCTAGAGACACTCAAATTGTTGTAGGAGTGTAGTCTGAAATTATATTTTCTCTTTGGCAACACCACTTTAAAAGATCATTGTGGCTTCCTGTCACGATTGCAGTTTACCACTCCTTTGGTTGTACGGGTAGAACTATTTGAGTGGTTATGTTGTTGACTGGATCATAGCAATGATTTGACTTAGAAGAAGAAAAAGTTTTCAAGAGTGGTAATAGGTAATTGTTTTATTTAACCTGAATAATTTTTGTCATTATATTTATATCATGGGTTTGCTGGCATATGCACCAGGACAGCTAAGAGAATAGTGAATTTACAAATATGGGTGGGGCAAATCAAGAATCACTTGAACAGGCTTTTCAGCAAGCGAAAATAGTGTCTCATGACTGTTTAAGGTAGATGCTCAGAGTGTGGTGGGTTGACCCTGGCCAAAATGCCAGGTGCCCACCAAAGCCATTCTATCGCTCTCCCTCCTTAACTGGACAGGAGAGAGGAGAGGAAAAAAAATAACAACAGGCTTGTGGGGTTGAGATAAGGACAGGGAGATCACTCAGCATTTACCGTCACGGGCAAAACAGACTCCATTAAAGAAAAAATGTAATTTATTGCCAATTAACTCAGAGAGGAGTAATGAGAAATAAAACCAAATCTTAAACCACCTTCCCCCCACCCCTCCCTCCTTTCCCAGGCATAGCTTTGATCCCGATTTTCCTCCCTCCTCCCCCTCCCCAGCGGCGCAGGGAGAAAACAGAGAATGGGGGTTGGGGTCAGTTC